GTGGGAGACAAAGACCTTTATTCAAGTAGAGAGCAGGAGAAAAATACAGTACAACTTTAACTTAAGATGGCTCCTTTTAATTAAGTTGAATTAAGCTTGCTAAAAATGGGAACACACTGCAATGAAGATTCACATTCTTGCAGGGCTCTGTGATAGCCTTCTGATAGGCTCTTCCCTGGACGAGCATTGATAGTCTGAGAATGTTCCTTGGAAATCATAAGGCGAGGTGAGAAGTTAGTACGGATCTGGAAGATTCATTTGTAAATGTATTTATTATTTTGTTGATTGGTTAGTTAGTTTGTTACCATAGATGGTTAATATTTGCCCCATAGGCTAGATATTTTGGCATACTTATTGGGTTCATCAATCAAAGTAGGTAGAGATTTTTCACATGGATATTTGATTTATTCTGGAATTATTTGCTCTTGATTTAAGTTTAATATTAAGTCTAAATTTATGGCCATGGTGTGATATCCTTACAGGAAGGTAAGGACATTTTTAAAATGTTTTACTGCCTGCAAGAACTTTAATCAGCAATGCATTTGACTAATATTTGTCGAGCCCTTATTGTGTTCAGTAAACTGTGCTATGCATTAGCAGAGTGGGAGATAATTGAGAAGCCTCTGACATGTGTCTTAGTAAGAGCAGATACTGAATTAATCATTGTTGAATAAATGCATTAATAAATAATGCTTATAATGTGTAAAGAAATGAAAACGAATGGTCTTTTTTTCTCTCTCTGCAATATCCCCATAGGCTAGCATAATGACTGAGATAGTAGGTCCTCAGTGCATACTTGAATGAATGGCCAAATGACTATGTCCTATACTTGCAGTCAGAGCTATTGGAATCGAGTGGAAGCTCATTGCTTTTAGCTTATCAGGGAAGGCTCCATGGAATAGGTGGGATTTTAATTGGTGAGAGAGAGTGGGGGCCATCTGGAAATAGGGAAGGTGCAGAGGCTCCTGAGGAGATGTGGGAAGCTGACAGCGGAAGGGTGGCAGTGGTGGGTGATAAGCAGAGGTAAATTTTGGAAAGCCTTGGAAGATAAATTTAAATTTTCCTGTGGAGACCATGGAGAGTAAAAGGGATATTTTAGAACTGTTAATCTAGAGGGGTTATTCCAGATACCTTGAAGAAGAGAGAAATATGAAGGGCACACAGATAAGACTTGATGATTAAGTGGATTGATGAGGGAAAGGGAGGAGTCAAAGGTGGTTACAATCTTGTTTTGAGCCTGGTTGACTTGGCTAATAGTAAAAGCAAAAACAGAAATTGGAAAGTCAGATGGAACATTAACTTTTTGTGGGACTATTTTTGTGTTTTAAATCTTTTAATATTTGAAGTAACAGGGGCACCTCATTGTGGACCAAGAGAAATCACAGAAGCACTGATTATTTGACTGGAGAGGCATTTTGGAGCTTGAGTAGGATTAGACTCAGATACAGTCCTGATATCTTACTGGAGTTAATGTGGTGTATCACATTGATTTGCATATGTTGAACCATCCTTGCATACCAGGGATAATTTTCACCTGATCTTGGGGTATGACCCTTTTAATGTGCTGTTGAATTTTAGTTTGCTAGTATTTTGTTGATAATTTTTGCATCTAAATTCATGAGGGTATTAGCCTGGAGTTTTCTTTTTTTGTAATGTCCTTATGTGGCTTTGGTATCAGGGTAATATTGACATCATAAAATGAGTTTGGGAGTGTTCTTTCCTCTTCAGTTTTTTGGCAGAGCTTGAAAAGAATTAGGATTAATTCTTTAAATGGTAAAATTCACCTATGAAGCCATCTTACCTTGGGCTTTTCTTTTTTGGGAGATTTTTGATTACTGATTTAAACTTGTTATTGGTCTGTTCAGATTTTTTATTTCTTCATGATTAAGATATAGAAGGTTACATGTTCTAGAAATTATCCATTTCTTCTAGGTTGTCTAATTTGTTGGCATGTAATTGCTCATAGTATTCTCTTATGATCCTTTGTTTTTCTCTGGTATCAGTTATAATGTCTCCTCTTTTATTCATAATTTTATTATTTTAGTCTTTGGTCTTTTTTTTTTTCTTTCTTTTTTTTATAGTTTTTTTTCTTTATTGATTTTGGAGAGAGAGGAAGGGAGAGGGAGAGAAAGATAGAAACATCGGTGAGAGAGAAGATCGATTGGCTGCCTCCTGCACAGCCCCCACTGGGGATTCAGCCCACAACTTGGGCATGTACCCTGAATCGAACTGGCAATATCTTTTTGCATGGGTCGATGCTTAACCACTGAGCCACACTGGCTGGGCTGGTCTTTTTTTTCTTGATAAGTCTAGCTAAAGGTTTGTCTATTTTGTTTATCTTTTTATTTAAAAAAAAATAGTTTTACCATTTTTTTCTATTGTTTTTCTATCATTGTTTCATTTATTTCTGCTCTGATCTTTGTTATCTTTGTTACCTTCTTTCTTCTGCTAACTTTGGGCTTAATTTTTGTTTTTCTAGTTCATTGAGATGTAAAGTTAGGTTGTTAACTTGAGATCTTTTTCTTTAATTTAAAAAAATTAAAGTATAGTTAACACAATAATTAGTTTCAAGTGTACAACATAATAATTTGACATTTATATACTTTACAGTGTGATCACCACAGTAAGTGTAGTAACTATCTGTAATGCAAGGTTATTACAATATTATTGACTGTATTCCTCTTTTTTGTTAATGTAGGTATTTATTGCTCTAAATTCCCTTTTAGCACTGCTTTTGCTATCTCTAATAAGTTTTGGTATGTTGTGTTTCCATTTTTGTCTGTCTCAAGATATTTTTTAAAATTTCATTTGAACTCATTAGTTGTTTAGGAGTGTGTTGTTTAAATTTTATATATTTGTCAGTTTTTCAGTTTTCATCTTATTGATGTCTAGTTTCATACCATTGTGATCAGGAAGGGTACTCAGTATGGATTTCAATCTTTTAAAATTTGCTAAATCTTGCTTTGTGACCTAACATATAATCTGTCCTGGAGAATATTCCATGTGCACTTGAGAATAATGTGTACTCTGGTGCTGTTGGATGGAATGTTCTCTATATATCTGTTAGGTCCATTTGGTCTGAAGTGTAGTTCAAGTCCAATGTTGGCTTTCTGTCTGGTCTATCCACTGTTGAAAGTGGGTTGATAAAGTTCCTTACTATTACTGTATTGCTTTCTATAACTCCCCTGAGATCTGTCGTATATTTAGGTTCTCAAATGTCTTTGCCTTCATCACCTGCCTTCCTGAGTCCACAGCTCAATGAAAGAGACGTGGGACTGAAGGGACAGGAGTGACTGCGCTCCCGCGTGCCATTCCCAGTCAAGGACGACCGGGAGGGAGGGAGGGAATGTCGCTTGAGAGTAGATGAGAACCAGCGCTTTTACAGTCAAATGAAGACAGAATAATTAAACCTTGATCATCACGGGTAGGGTAGCAAAATGGCCATAAAATGTTAACATCTAGTAGTTTACTATTACAAGTCTAACTCTTCCTTGAAGAGTTTTCTATTTTTTAAATTCCAGTGATAGCACTGAAATGAAAAATAATATTAGTTGTGCAAGTTTATTTTATACCAGTTTCTAGCAGTAGTAACTGCCTTTGTCTTCATGGGCATTTATTAACAACCAACCTACAGGACAAACATTTCAAAATTAGTGATCTTAAGTGGTTAGCTGATAGTCTCGATTACCTGGCATTTGGTAGAGAAGGAGAAGCAGACAGACGCAGAACTAGTTGGTGAATTCCTGTCTGAGGTTCCAGGTGGGCACATGAACCTCAGTGGTAGCAATTGGCCTTGGATAATAGAAAAACAAAAATTCCATGCAGAAATGGGAAAATTCCAACATTATAGGTGGAGTATTTTTAGAGTGGGGCTTATGAACTACTTTTCAGCCTGAAGGATTTAGGAATAGGCAGTCTCCTGCTTCTGCAAATACCAAATGAAAACCAGGCTAACGTTCTTGGATTTATAGATTTAGTTTACCAGATTGAAAGACACTTGCTCTTTTAACTAACTGAACTAGTCGGCCCTGCATGCTGAGTTTCTATGGCAATATGATCTCAGTGACCTCTCTTCTCTGTTGTGGAATGTAGGTGATAAGAATGGAGGTGAGCCTGATGATGCTGAACTGGTAAAGCTCAGTAAGAGGCTGGTGGAGAACGCAGTGCTCAAGGCTGTCCAGCAGTATCTGGAAGAAACACAGAACAAAAACAAGCCAGGGGATGGGAGCTCTGTGAAAACTGAAGAGGCTGATAGGAATGGCACTGACAGTGACAACAGGAAATGAGGCCCAGGTGCAGGCAGGCCCCACTGCTCCATGAGAAGCACCCTGCTGCCCTCTGCCGAGTCAGTGGACCGATCTGCAATGTGCTGTTTAAGTGTCTCTTGTCCAATCTGTGGAGGTTGCCTAATACTTACATGATCAATGTGTTTGCATTTCTGAAGCACAACAGAAGAAAAATGGAGTGCTGGGACTAGTCGAGGAAATTAGTCTGTGAAAGAAGAATGGCCCAAGAGTCACTTGCCCTCAGCCATGGCCAAGGGAGAGCGGACTTTGGGTTATGCATTGTGGACTCAAAGGCCGTGGAAGGGGCCTTGCCATAATTCAAATACTGCCATTTATATTGCTTAGCAGGGCATTTGACTACTTTAGCTGAGGCCAACACACACACACACACACACACACACACACACACACACATACACACAGCTAACGTGTGCTAAGTTGAAAATAATCACTGTTGAAATTATTATCCATACGATTAGTCCATAATGTTTTATGTTTGTCCTACGTATGCTGTCGCTATGCAGTGATCTTTATTTACAGTACATTTGTTTCAGGTAAATAATATATTTTTGGCAAAATGCAACCTTTTCTATAACATGTGGGCAACATTTGAAAGATTTCTTTTTAACCCCCTTTTGATATCTCAGTGTGCCATATTTAATGTTTTTCATTGGCATTTGTATGTAAAACATATTATAAATTTTTTTTCTGTAGGCAAGGGGCCTATTGGAATCCGAGACTTAATTAATGAAGCCTTGCAGCGAGAAAGGATGGTTCTGAAGTCCAAAGTGAAACAGATAAAAGAACTCTTATTCCAGCCTGAGATTCAGGCCAAAATTAGAAGGGAGCTTTTTGAAGAAAGATCCATTAACAACAGTAATCAAGAAAACGATGTTGATTTCACGGCAACTTTGACATAAGCTCTACATTGCTATCATGGTACCATAGTTTATGAGACCTTTGCAGCTGATTGAATGGCTCTTTGGTAAATACCAAAGAAGTGTTCTGATAGTGTCTTTACTATAGCACATCAACTTTGGGTAAGGAATTAACAACTTCTTGCCAAAGAAAACTGATTCTGTCCTGTTAGTTTTAAAGCTAAACTTGTATTTAGGAGTGTTTGTTTCTATAATATCAAGAGTTATTTTATAAAAAGAACTTCTTAATGAGCTCTTATAAAGTGTTCCTGGGGTCATCACAGATAAAATATGCAGACTGAAAAATCATTTATAGGTTAAGAAAAAATACAGTATTTTAAAGTAAGTTGCTTCCTGTTGACATGATTTTTGTTGTAGTAGTAAAACAAAAGAAGTATTGTTCACTTGTGACTATATCTAGTGTTACTCTTAATGGGAATTTGAATGTTTGTTGAACAGTAGTACTTGAATGAACATTTATAAATGTAATTATTGCAATCACTGGTTAAGAATGTATTATATCCATATGTATTATTTTTCAATGATCAAAATGTAGTTTGCCTTTTCATTTCTTGATGGAATAAATGTTTGGGATTTTAATTTTCTACTTTTCTGAAGATAAGCCCAGGTCTGTATCCCTTAGAATCTGAAGTTGTTTGCACTGGTTTATTTTTAAAGAAAATTCTTGAAAAATGTCCCCTTGTATGATAATCAATGGTAACAGCTTTTTCTATGGTCTTTGTAAAATTGCTGCTACTAAGAGATCATGATGGAGGGGGAAATTATTAGAGATCAAATATGTAACCATTTCAAATGTAAAATCCAGTTTACGCCTGGATTTTAGCTATTTTTTCACTGGGTAAATTATATTACATTTATTTATAAATGAGTTTGCATTTTCACGCTTCTTAATAAACGTATTGTTTTCCCTTGTTGCCTTTCCTCATTTTCTCTCACTCTTGGAAGTTGTTGGATCTGTGTCGGTACAAAGAAGTCATAAACAGGAGCTCTGAGAGTCTCGTTATTCTCACCTTGATGTTCTTACCCTTCATGCTAAGGTAGCACAGTTATCATAGTACCTTCAACTTTAGACTATTGATCACTTCAAATCAATCAGCTTCACAGAGAATTAACAACACAACATTAAATGCAAAGAAAATCTAAATAGCATCTCATACACTGCTAGTGACGTGTCCCTGGAATGGCATTATTAGCAGAGTCGAAAGGAGCAGTTCCACCCAGATGCCAAGACCTGGGAGCTGCTTACCCTAGAACCCTTTCAGGGGCAGAGGGCATTGCCATGTGTAAGCAGAGGTATTGGGGGCTTGCTTGGTTTTTCAAACAAACTCAGGGAGGGTGGGTGCCTTATCCGAGCCACCCTGCTGTGGGGGCACCAGACCTGCACTACAACCCAGGACTCCATCTCAAGGTGCCAGAGCTACTTCCTGCCCCATCGTCTGAGTTAACTATCTCAGAGAGAGTACGTCTCAGCATATATCTGTAAATATCTTTGTCTTCAAGGAGCAATTCCAAGTCCTTCAAACAATTTGAAAGGCTAAGATAGTATTATTTATTTATTTTTGCAATCTAGGGTTACATGTCTTACTGTAATTTTAGTTAAGAATCTAGCTCTGCCCTGGCCGGTTTGGCTCAGCGGTTAGAGCGTCGGCCCAAGGACCGGGGAGTCCTGGGTTTGGTTCCCGCTAAAGGCAGTTTGTACCCGGCTCCTGTTGGGGTCGTGTGGGTGGCAACCACTCGATGTTTCTCTCTCTCTCTTTCCCCCTCTCTCCTTCCTCCTCTATCTGAAGATAAATGCAAAAATGTCCTTGGGTGAGGATAAAAAAAAAAAAAAAAAAGAATCATAGCTCCAAGGTGTGCCCGGTGATTTAGGCATATTACTACATTCCTTCCCTTTAGTGACCATATTAGGAAATTACTGTACTGTTTTACAGATAGGAAACTAAGAAACTGGGACTCTACATGGTTAAATGGCTATAAAGCTAAATGACTATTTATAAAATGTAGGTCTAAATTTAAACCCGGATCTGTTCTACTTCAAAGTCATACTCTTTCTACAATGCACTTCCTCTCTCTACCAGGTACAATACATCTCACAACTTTAGGATGTGTAACAAAGGGAAAGTCACCGTCTTTTAACTAAGCCAGCTCCCTGGTAGCCTGGAAATTCTGTGAACACATTTGAGAGCAGTCAGTGATACGATAGAACCGAAAAGAAAAGCTAATCAATGAAATCTTCATTTAAGCAGCTTATAAAGACAATCGAAAGCACACAATAAAACAAATTTTGTTCATGGTTCCATTTTAAAACACCAATAAGACATTAACTTTCAAAAATCTAAGTTTGGGATCTAAAATTGTCAGAATGACCTTTCCCCATTAATCAGTCATAGGATAATTGCTTACTGAGTCACACAGTCAGAATATGTTGTCCTGAATTGACGCTGCTGCTTTGCAGTCTTGTCTTCTGACAGGGAGGCTGCGTGGTTGGGAAAGAGCATTGGTTTGGTCCAGGAGGCAGACCTGGCTTCTAGACCTGGGACTACCTCTGACAAGTGATCTTGAACAAACCAGTTTATTTTTTTGAGCCTCAGTTCCCAATCTATTATTTGAAACCACTTGGCCAGGTGATTTTCAAGGATCCTAGACTCTGTAACTGGGCCAGGGTGCTACTCGGTTGATGCTGCCATGTCAGCTGGCTACTCAGGTGTAGGCCTTGACTGGGCCACCCTAAGTGCATCTGCTGTCAACACTGGGTAGGAATTCTAGAAGACTTTACATTATCTCGTGTTGGTTGTCACCTTCATGTAGGGAAACCCCAGTGGTGCATTTTCACATTATAACCAGATTCCAACACTTTTAGTCACTGGAAAAATAGTAGATCCTATATGAATATTTTAAGGGGTATCAAAAAAGTATTTTCAGCAACAAGATCCTGTCAGCTTTAAACTTGGCCCTACTTTACTGAGTCTTAGTTTATTATTGCATTACTCTACTTCTCAGTCTAAACTAACTATAGGCCTTTCAGATATACTAGACTAGATTTATATCTAGAGCATTCTTAAGATTCAGACTATTCACTCCAAAACCACAAATGTGCCAGTCATTCCAGCAGGAAGATGTTCCCCTAAGGAGGCAATTAAAGCAGTTCAACTTCATATTCTAGACGTCATTTCAGACGTATGACCAATAAGATACATTTGCAGCTCTGCACTCCATCCCAGGTGCATAAACCAGCTACCACATTATGTAACAAATTAAAATTTTATTTCATTTCATAATTAAAGACAACAATCTATAGTATCTCCAAACACAAATTGATGAATGGATAATCTATCATCATCCATGGTTTTCATCTTTTTCAAATCTCATCTCTAACAATTTTAAGCTGAACAAATTATAGATGTGTTCCTGAATTCCAATTTTTATTAAGGTAGAGAGAAAAAAATAGTGCACTTAAAAAATATAATTTCTAAGTCACTATGTAAATTTGAGAGCAGTGCACATGCTAACAAGACAAACCCTCGGATTATTTCATTCATAGGAAAAACGAACACTAGAGCAATTCACTCTGAGTGAATTCTGACACTACCTATCGCATTTCTTTCCTGGATCGGTTTTAGGGATAATATGGTAATTTGAGAGCTGAGGGAAGGTGCTAATATCTTCTGTTGTGTAATATGTTCAAAACTAGCTATTTGCATCATTAAATGTAACTGATAAGTTCAGGCAATTTTGGATCATTTTAAGATGTAAACTTCAATAGTTATTCCCCTGCATATCCCCTCATTAGTTATTTGTTGGAAGGCCATGAAGTTCTGTTACAGCCTCAAAGATAGGAACAGTAAAACTGAGAAATCAATTAATTGTTTCCAGTATACTAATGTTTCTTTTCCTTTAGTGGTTCAAATTATGTTTCAAAAGCCACTGTCCTGTCTATTTCTGTGTTACATTGTCTGACCCATCTACTGTAGTCCTGTCAGCTTAAGCAGTTATGTGGTATTTGGAGCTCTTGACCTTGAGTAACCATAAAGCAAATTGGTAAAACACTTCAGATTACACCCCACGATTCCTGCCCAAAACCACATGGGCATAATACCGTCATGATTATGTCTATGAACCAATGCACAATGTAGTTTCTTTGTATACTTCTGAAAATAAGACATAGTTACCCATAAAATAACATATATCATACCCATAATTTGAAAAAGTATTGTTTTTATAAATGCATATGTGGGATATATAAAGTTGTAGGAGGTGAGAGGACAAAAATATGAGTCTCATAGCTGGATTAAATGCTGGGGGAAAAAACAAAAGTGGTATGTGTGCACCAATCCAAAAAGTATTTCAGGAATTGAGGTAGAGAAAATAGAATGGGTATGCAAAGTGAGAGAGACTAAGTATATTTTTTTAAGATTCTGGAAGACAAATTTGAAGCTATTTTTATCAGTTCTACACTTGGAAAGTGTCTTTATGAAAGGGAATGTGAAGAGGGCACTTAATGATTTCCTGGACATTTGTCACACCCAGTGACTGCCTAGCATCTTTCAAACACCCTTCTTATGTTTGGGGAACTTCCTACATTGTGAGCCCTTCTTTCCCAGGGTAGAGGTCCCGAGGTAGAGGCCAGGAACTCACCTCCTCAACTTTCTGTGTCATTGGTGTTTAGACACATGACCTGGGCTCCACCAAGCAAGAGGGGACCCCACATGAAATCACTCCATTCTGGCAAAGGTGCTCTCTGGGGATCCAAACCCTCTGTAGGTAATGCACACTGTGGAGGGTAGTGCCAACAAGGTTCCTCTGGAGCAGCTGGTAGTGTGATGGGGCATTTTTCTGGCTGCCTGGCTGCCTAGGCTGATTCCCTGGACCTTCTGGGGATTCTGTGAGTGCTGATTATCCTATACTCTGAAGTCCCCTTTTCACATAGACTAGTGAGAGTCAGTTCTGTTATTTGCAACTAAAAACCCTGACTAGGACTTCCGGTCAAGGTGGCGGGTAGGTAAACACGGTATCGCCTCCTCCCACGACCACTTAAAATTATAACTAAACTACAGAACAACCGTCTTTCAGAACCACCTGAAATGGAGCTGAAGGAAAGGCCTGCAGCTATGAAACTGAAGAAGAAGCCACATGGAGACTGGTAGGAGGGCGGAGGGGACGGGCTGGTCCCACACCCACGTGTGGTGGATAAAATCAGGAGGACACCTCAGCTGGGAAAGTCCTCCATGAGGAGTGAAGGGTCCCTGTCCCACACCGGGTGCCCAGCTCAGGGTTCCAGTGCCAGGAAGAGAATCCCCATCACTTCTGGTTGAAAAACGAGCAGGAACTGAGGCTCAGGGAAGCTGAGGCGGCTGGAGCCCCAGGCAGCTCCCTAAAGGGCCCACGCACAGACTTATCGGACTCTCTCCCTCTAAGCTTAGAGGGGAGGCAGCTCGAGGGGCATCAGAGACACACAGGGAAGAACTGAGCTGTTTGGCATTGGAGCGAGGGCGGGACAAACGTGCTGTCAGAGGCCTTTGTTCCTTTGGTGAGCCCTTCCCGGGGGCGGCAGACAGTCTCCATATCTGGGACTCCAGCCACCTGGCTCACACTGGTAGCCCCGCCCTGCTGACTCCCTGAGGCCCCGCCCCACCCAACTTTTGGCTCCCCACCCACCAAGCTGTTTCCAGTGGCTTTATCATAGGATTGGCCTGTCTCGGCTCCTGCTTCAGATTTTCCTACATTCTCTCAAACAAATAGCATCCAGCCTCAATGAGGCCCATACCTCTTGCTAAGTGGCCCCAGGCCTGGCACTGAAGCATCCAGCCTTGGTTCAAAGTTTAGCCTTGCCTGGGCACCTCTAAGACCAGCACAAGAAGCAGCCATCTGCAGATTG